CCCCCCCCCCCCCCCCAGTGCACAAATTTTTGTGCACCGGGCCTCTAGTCTATACTAATAAAAGGGTAATATGCTAATTAGATCAGGACACCTTCCGGGAGACCTTCCGGACGTCCTTCTGGACAAAGCCATGGTAGCAGGGCAGAGGCCGTTAGGGGTGATCAGGCCAGGAGGGGGGGGCACTGGGGGGTGACCAGGCCAGTGGGGGGGAGCAGTTGGGGCGAGCAGGCCAGCAGGGGGGACCAGTTGGGGGTGAGCAGGCTGGCAGACAGAGTGGTTAGGGGCAATCAGGCAGGCAGGTAGGTGAGCGGTTAGGAGCCAGCGGTCCCAGATTGTGAGAGGGGTGTCCAACTGCTGGTGTGGGATTGGGGCTAAACCAGCAGACATCCCCAAGGGGTCCCAGATTGGAGAGGGCTGAGGGACACCCCCCCATGCATGAATTTCGTGCACTGGGCCACTAGTCCTATATAATAAAAGCACAATATGCAAATCGGCCGAATGGCTGAACAGCGGAACGACCATCAGAGTGACCATGTTATGACACCCACTGGCGCCAGGCCAGGCAAGGCGGGTGTGATGTGATTGGTCGGGGGCCTGGCCATCGCCCCATGATCGCCCAGGCCGAATGGCTGAACAGCGGAACGACCATCCGAGTGACCATGTTATGACACCCACTGGCACCAGGCCAGCCAAGGCGGGTGCAATGTGATTGGTTGGGGGCCTGGCCATCGCCCCACAGAGGGAGGCCTGGGCCACCAGCTGGCGGGACGATCAATAGGAGGGCTCCACAATCGCCCCAAAGAGGGAGGCCCAGGCTGCCCGGGCCACCAGCTGGCGGGGCAATCAATCGGGGGGCTCCACGATTGCCCCAAAGGGAGGCCCAGGCCACTAACTGGCAGACTATGGCGTGTGGGTGGGGCCTCCCTCTGTGAGGGAAGCCTGCGTGCCGGCGGCCAGAGGGAAGCCTGGGTCCTGGGTACCAGAGTGAAGCCGGTGCCAGCAGCTGGGGAAAGGAAGGCCTACTCTTGCACGAATTTCGTGCATCGGGCCTCTAGTGTATATATAACTACAAGTGTCTAAATCAGTACACTGAGCATCTGTTTGAGATCTAGAGGTGGCCTATTAAGTAGAGTAAAAAAAGAAAGTATGGCTACAGAGAAGAGCTCTGGACCAGTGGTGCTAGACGATTAAATAAAGGCACAGCAAAGTAATGAACAGGCAGCGGTGCTTCGGGCTGCTTTATGGGAAGTGAAAATGGGGAACCACTGAGACAGCAGTTAGGGCAGCGGTTCTCAACCTGGGGGTCGCGATCCCTTTGGGGGTCGAACGACCCTTTCACAGGGGTTGCCTAAGACCATCGGAAAACACATATATAATTACATATTGTTTTTGTGATTGATCACTGTGCTTTAATTATGTTCAATTTGTAACAATGAAATTGGGGGTCACCACAACATGAGGAACTGTATTAAAGGGTCGCGGCATTAGGAAGGTTGAGAACCACTGAGTTAGGGTGACGGTATAGACGGGGCTTTGGGACCTGCGCTGGGGCAGGAGCAGTGAGTATGTCTCCTCCATGTGCTGCTTCAACTGCAGCTAGTGGGCAGTTGGTGGCATGATTTTTGTTGAAGGCTTGCAGAGCCCTGGACTAGAGCCAAATTATTGATAAGCCACATACAACATTGGTTTATCCTAATGTTCTAGGTATGTCTGACTGTGCACGTATTTGGTGTCTACAAGGAAAGCAAAGCAGTGACATCATGGACTTAGATGTTGTTTTGTCAGCATTTGAGGAAACCCTCCCCGCGTATAAGTAAGTGTTGATGGGATGTGTGTACCCGGTTTCCCCTGAACACCACCTTTGCTTATCCCACAGCTTTTGATATGTAGTATTTTCATTATTCAGTTTTACAGATTTTTACACTTCCATGATAATTTTTCTTTAACCCTGTGAATTATTTAGTAGGATGTTTATATCCAAATATGTGACTTTTTAGTTTATATTTTTGTATTAACCTATTTTATTTCAAATATGTTGTCAAATCTCATGAACTGGTGATACCCATCTTTTTAAATAGTGAGGCTTTCTTTTTTTTTTTTTGTTTTGTTAATCCTCACCTGAGGATATTTTCCCATTGATCTTTAGAGAGAGGGGGAGAGACACAGAGAGAAACATCCATGTGAAAGAGACACATGGATTGGTTGCTTCCTGCACACCCCCCGACCAGAGCCAGGGAACAAGCCTCTAACCGAGGTACATGCCCTTGACCGGAATCAAACCCAGGACCCTTCAGTCTGCCAGCTGATGCTCTGTCCACTGAACCAAACTGGCTATGGCTGTGTCAAGATATTTTTAAATTTCCCTTGATATTTCTTTGACCCATTAATTGTTCAAGACTGTGTTGTTTAATTTCCATATATTTTTAAATTTTCCTTTTGCTAATGATTTCTAGTTTTATTCCATTGTGGTCTGAAAAAGTACTTGGTATGATTTTCATCTTGTTAAACTGGTGACTTATTTTGTCTCCTCACATGTGGGATGTGATGGGCATGTTCTGTGCGCTGCAGAAGAACGTGCGTTCCGCCGCTTTGGGTGGAGTGTTTGTAAAGGTTTCTCAGTTCCCGTCGGGTCAGTGTTCAAGTCCTCTGGCTTCTGTGTGGTTATGTCATTATTGAAAGTGTTTCCGTGTGGCTGTTCCTGCACTTGCCTGGCAGACTGCAGCTCTTTAAGTGGTTTTGGGAATGCACATAAAGGCTTTGGGGCCTGATAGAGCTGCTATATTGGTTTCCCTGTGGGGAATGAGGTCTGGGGCTTCCTCTTTCACTGTCTTGCTGATGCCACTAGAAATACTAGTTAACACGCATTTCATGAGAACTTTGATACAAAGGTCTGTACTGAAAGATGCAGCCTGCTCTTGTGCACTCGTCGCTTCTGAAGCATCACAAGGGCACTGGACAGCGTCCTGTGTGCCCAGGCTGAGCAGGGGGCCAGCCGCAGCCTGGCCGTGTCGGCTGCTGACTCGGTCCCTGTGCGTCTGCCACTCGCCATGAGGAAGCCAGGCTGGGAGACTGCGCTCTTCTCTCTCGTCCCAGGTCCTGAGTCAGTGTCTTTTTCAGGGTCCGCTTTATAGTTTTCCAAGAATTGGACAGCTGGCTTTTGGTTCCTTACCTGTTGGTCAATCCAGATGTGTTACACAAGTACTTCTCCAGCTGTTAGCAGGCAGGCAGGTAGGGGCTGAAGTCTGCTGGTCATTGGATCGGGGGCAGGAAGACCGCATGTCCACATCACGTGGCATCACCTGCAGACATGGCCAGGGTCAGGATGTGCAGCTGACCACATACCCGAGGGTTTAGGGAAAAGTGTTTCCTGTTCTTTTTCTTTTGTTGAGACATTTCCAGTACTTTTAAGCCTGAGAAGGACTGATCATGCCTTCCTAGATATTCAAAATGCTCTATGTAAAATTGTGTTGATGTGATAAGCAAAGGAAACACACTCTTTCACAATCCTTTGATACCTAGTTTGATCCTTTTTTTAAAAATTCTGTTACAGACAAAATATAGAATCTAAAATTTGCCAGGAAGCAATTGGCAAATTCCATTCTAGTATGAAAGAAGAACTCATCAGAATGGTAAGTTCACTGACACACATTTTCTGGTCTGAATCTTTTTTACTAGTCCCGAGGCAGCATACAGATATTGTGGAAGGACTGCATGTGCTGGCAGTGTGGGAATTAGCAGTATTTCACATGTGTTAAAATAAATGTGATTATATTATAAACTAACATTTAATTTTGGAAAATGTCATGCGGATATTTTGTTTCGTGTAGCTTGCGGAAGTCCAGATGTTGAAAACTCTGAGGAGGAGGAATGCTAAGGTAAATCACTTGTGATTAGAAGCTCATGTCGCCGAGTAGAGACTTGCCGGGGTTTTATGCCCTTCCATGTGTATAAGGTGTTTATCTTTTTAGTCTGGCTTTTATCTGGCTGGTCTTGTGGTTGAGTACTGTTAGTGCACGCTAAGGAAGGGAAATGGCTATGAAGCCCCAAATGGGTAAGGCCTGAGTAATGCATGTTTATCACTTTCGTGGATGTGAACAAGCAAAGCCTTTAGAGTAAAGAGCTGTCCCACATCCCAGGTGACGGACAGCCTGGGAGAACACGGGTTGAGGGTGAGGAGAGCTCATTTCCTGTCCTGGCTCGGCTGCTCGAGTGTTGCACTGCCTGAAAACTGTCCGCCAGCAGGTGTGCCAGGAGGAAAGCCAGGAGCCTAGGCCCCGTCTGTTTATGGACCCAATGACCCCGAGGTTCTGGCTCTAAACTTGCATGAATCGGGAGTGAAAGGGCAGCTGCCCCTCTGCCTTTACGGTAGAAATGGGTTGGAAACATACACCTTTTCCTGCCAGTGATGACAAGGCGTTGCCCCTGTTTTATCCTATCGCTTTAATCTCTGGTCAACTCTGCATTGCCTGTACGTGGGAACAGTCTGAATGCCCAGCAGTGGAGTATTACGTAGTCACTCAGAGTGCTGGCTACAGGAATAAAGTTGATTATACTGAAATGTTCTTCCTAAAAGTGTACCCCGACCCTGCCAACCCGTTCCAATGTTTCCTAGTGTGCCTAGGTAAAACCGAAACTTCTCTGTGTCTCAGTGAAGCTCTGGCCCACACATCTTTAAAGCCCTGGAGTAAATAGCCCTGCTCTTCTCCCAGAGTTCCCTGCTTCCCTTCAGAGCACATGGTCAGAAGTTGTAATCACATACTGTTTGTATGTAACGTCTCTTTTCCCGAAAAGTTCCATGATGGAAAGAATGGGGTCTTGTTTCCCACTGTACTTCCACTGTACCACAGTATACTTGGTGGCACTCAAATATTTGTGAACTTAATTTAACAAAGGAATTTCTGTGTTACTTAGACGATTTCAGATATTGAAAAGAAAAGGCAGCGTTTGGTTGAAGTCCAGGATGAACTGCTTTGGTAAGAGAACGTCAGAAGCCTGAGGACTTGCCTAGAGGGACTGGGACATGCCCATGGGCTAGAGAATCTGCTGCTGGGCTGTGTGAACCCCAGGTTTGCCTGGAGCTCAGGAGCTGCAGAACCGGAGCAGCTTTTAGCAAAGGAGAATCAGCACTGATCTGCCATCAGAACGCAGCCTGGGCTGCATAGACTCCAGAACCAAACTGCCTGGGTTTGAATCCAGGCTCTGCCACCTACGGGCTGCACAACCGTGGGCGGGTTACTTAACCTCCCAGGGCCTCGCGCCTTCATTTGTAAATAAGCATAAGACCTTCCCCTCACAGAGTTGTGAGAACCAAATGGATAAGTATACAGGAAGTGCTGTGTGTTCACGGTTGTTGACGTACTGTCGCAGCATGTACTGTGGTGACACTCGTGCAGATCCATCCCCAAGCTTTGGGAAGTAAGCCACCAAGAGAAAGCCGTTTCCCCAGGCACGGGGGCAGTTCCTCCCGCCCCCTGGGTATTTTTGGACCTTGGAAATGGACAAGATTGTGATAGAAAGGGCAAAAAGAAGGCTTTTTGTCCATGCTTTTGCTGTTGCCTGTCTATTCCTGCCTGAGGCTTTTAATCCCATAGTTCCCAAGACCCTAAAAATGAGTTTTAGGCTATATAGGCAGTGGTCGCCAACCTTTCGGACCTCACGGACCACCAGTGGTCTCCGGACCACACGTTGGCAACTGCTGATATAGGGCATATTCTTCTGTGGACTTCATTGTGCATCATATTTCAGAGTTTTAAACAGAAAATCTAGAATCTTTCACACATTCATAATTTCAGAGCCAAACATGCCTTAAACTATCCAGTCCACCACCCCTGTTTTTTCTAACTTCACTCAGTATATCCACAACTCAGGCTCATACACTTTATGTAGACTGTTACTATTCTATATCATTTATTTTTAGGGAAACTTTTTTGTGTGTGGTTTTTTTTTTTGCTTTAGTTTAGAACCACAGCTCAAACAACTACAAACAAAATATGATGAACTTAAGGAGAGAAAATCTTCTCTGAAGAATGCAGCATGTTTCTTATCTAATTTAAAGCAGCTTCATCAAGATTATTCAAATATTCAGGAGAGACAACCAAATGTAAAGGAAACGGTAAGTTCTGTTTACTTTTCACTGTGCTTCAGAAGCTGGCCTTGCATGTGAGTACCAGAAGCTATGAGGACTTGAGAAATGTAGATGCAACATAACAGTCTACTCAAAACCGCATCGCTCTAAATCCTTGAAAATGTGTTTGATCATTGTTGCTTTAGCTCTTTAAGGCTAGAGGAGTAGAGAAGGCTCCTGAAACACCTATTTTATAAAGGCACTAGAGGCCCAGTGCACGAAATTTGTACACAGGTAGGGTCCCTAGTGGCTGCCGGCTGCAGTGCCGGCCGGGGCCTACCTTTGTTCCACGCCACCCCATGATGGTCAGCGCACATCATAGCAAGCGGTCAAACTCCTGAGGGGACACTGCATATTAGGCTTTTATATAGAGAGATTTACATTTCAGAGAACCAAATCCCATTCAAGGAAGTAACCTGTTTGTACAAATTTCAAATGAACAACTAGGCTTTATTGTAATTGTTATCATAAGACCACCCAGACATGTTTTAAAGACAGGCCTGTTTGTAGGATGTTTTTTTATTTGAAAAACAAGTCATTATCCCATAAAATGGTAGGTGTAATATTAGAAGTTGAAAAAGATAAAAAGGAAATATAGTAGAAGAAAGTGTGATAGATTGTTTTAATAAATTTTATAGTTGCTTCTGGATTTTTGCTGCAGACTTTGCTACTGTTATGAGAATCGGCTCATATTAATAGGAATATTTAAGTTTCAGAAAGAAAATTTATATGTATCATGTACCTATAGCTTATGACCATATTTTATTCTTCACTTCTAAATCCAATTTTAAGGTTTTTGTTTTTTTTAATTCTCATTCAAGGACATATTCATTGATTTTTAGAGAGAGAGGGAGAGAGAGAAACATCAATCAACTGCCTCCCTTACGTGTCCCAACCAGAGATTGAACCTGCAACCTTCTGGTGTGTGGAACGGCACTCCAAGCAACTGAGACACCCAGCCAGGTCCAATTTTAGGTTTTGACACTGGTCTAAAAGTTAATCCTCCTACAATAAGGTTTATTTCTAGGTTAAAGATCTGGAAATAGAACATTTTTATGTTATTTTTTCCTGTGACAGTACCCAACTAGTTTAAAGCTTGTCATATGGACTTGGAGATTTAGCTACTAAACGTGGAGAAATTGAAACTGAGATAGTGACTCTACCTTGTTTGAATACATTACTCTGTTTCTGTTGCAGCACCTGTCCTTTTTGTTTATAGAGTATAGTTACTTGGGTATATATCTTACCTCTTTTCCTAAACTAAAGCTCTAGTACCAAATGTTAGTTCTTCCCCTTCACCCCTCCCTGAGAGCAGGTGCCTCCTGGTAGCTCGAACACCTTAGGTTCTCAAATATGTAACTTAATTCCATTATTATGTGAATGGTATAGTCTGGCAGCTTTTCTGCTCAATTTTCATGTCTCAGAAAATCACATTAAACAACAATCATAATTATAAAATTCTGTAAGGGGAATTTAGTTCCTCTCCCATAGATACAGTTTACAACATGAAGTTTGGCTTTGCTAATTATTATAAAATCAAGAGTTGGGTTTTTTTTTTCTATTTTATTTTGGGTTTGTATTCTAATTTTTTTAATCATTAAGAAATTTGGATTGGCAACTTTTAAGACATTCAATTGATCTTCCCCGTAAGTAATTTCTCCAGGTGATGGCTTTTTTCCTTCATGAACTTTCACTTTTATGAGCCTGGAGTGCTCATTCCATCGGTTCTTACAGTGAAGGTAAACCTGCCTTACACAGGACGAGATCTAGCGACTTGTTTCCATAATTCAAAGGCCACAGTTCTTTGAACAACTGGTCTGGTATGAGGTCAACTCAAGCCTTGCAGAACAGTTCCCTTGAAACCTATTTATCAATTATGTCCTAAGAAAATGGGTTAAAACAAAATGAACGATCCTACCTCAAAAGATGCGTAGTTAATGGCTAGCTCTATTAAAATCGAAATTGAGCTGTGTGGAACAAATAGGGTTATAATATAAAAGTTATTAGTATTTGTTCATCTAAATGATTTTCCTTCAACAGTATGACTCATCCAGCCTCCCAGCGCTGTTATTCAAAGAAAGAACTCTCTTAGGAGCCGAAAGCCATCTGCAAAATATCAACCATCAATTGGAGAAACTCCTTGCCCAGAAATGAGACCAGTCTGCTAGAACGTGCCTGCCTGGGTACAGATGAGTCCCACGCTCCTGCTGCCTTCCGAAGCTCCTGCCTATTGCTGAAGCAACACTCTTGATAGATGTAAGAAAGTAAACGTGTCTAGTTGTTCAGGCTGGTGTGCGGCCGTGTCACCAGTTTGACTGTACAGTAGCTCGAGAGGACATAATTAACTTGCCAGGTTAGTGTCCTGAGTGATAAGTTAACCTATAAATACGCAAAATTAGCTGATGTGCATACAGACTAACTTTGGTTAATCAATAAGAGATTTCTACTGAATTTAAGTACACTGAATCTAATTTTCAATAAAACTGGTTTACTTCAGTAAAAACCAAGAATTGGAAAGCAAAATGATAAAATTTAGTTGATCTTAACAGATTTAACACGTTACTGTAATTTAATCTATCTTTAGGCAAATTACAACCTGGTTATAAGTGCATAGGTAATTAGCTATTCTGTAATACTTCCACAATTACTTCGTCAGGAATTTCATCCACTCCACCATTATAACTGGGAAGGCTGTTCTCTGCAGCTTCTGCTAATTCAGCATCCTCAGTAGCTTCCAAGAAATAAGTATCATCAGGGCCACTGTCCCAGTCAGGGTCAGAGCACACACCTCCTGACGATGCGCTGGATGATGGCACATGAAGGCTCTGGGTCCCATCGTTCATGGTTTCCTGTGTTGTAAACTCTTCTTCCTTTAGTTCCAAAGAGAAGGACGGGATAGAAGAAAACACTGTATTCATTCAGAATATGTGATGATTTCATGGAGCAACCTGTGTTGGACTAAGGTATAAAACCAGTACAGCAGATATCCAAGTGAATATGCTACATGGTGGTGTCTTTGATACCATCACCTTGAGAGTGAACTCTTTTGTTCAAATATTGCTGCCACTGTCGCCAGAACATACTGGAAATGCCTGCAGTTCCTACGATACATCCTGTTCAATAAAAACAGGTGGCCTACAGCAGGGCTAGGTTGATTTTTTTTTTTTTAAAGTGGATAGCCCAGCTGAAGGCAAATTGGAAAGTAGATCTATCTGAACAGACTTAAAGAAACAGTTTAGACAATTGTCAAAATGTGACTGGATTGTATATTAGATAATAGTATTGTGTCAACATTAAATTTTCTGAATTTAATAAAATGCTCTTATTCTCCAGCTACATGCTTACATATTAAGAGATGAAGGGTTTGAAGTTTGCAGCCTTCTTTCAAGAGATTTGTTAAAATTGACTGTTAAATCCTAACACCCCACACGATGGTATTTAGAAGTGAGGCGTTTGGGACTGGACTACATCATAAGGGTAGAGCCCTCATTAATAGGATTAGTGCCCTTAAGAGACCCCCAAGAACCCTCCCTTCTGTCTGGGACGTAGAAACAGGTGCAACATAACAGCTGCATCTCTCTGACCCGGGAAGCTGGCTCTCATCAGGCAGCACCTTGATCTGAGATTTCCCAGCGTCCAAAACTGAGCAGTAATGTCTGCTGTTCAGAAGCCACCTGGTCTGTGGTTATAGAAGCCCCAAATGACAAAGACATAAGTTTAAAACCGAAACCATTTATACAGCAGTGATAACGCTATACCAACAGTACTTCCATCTGGCATTTTTGAGGTTTGACTAGATAAGCAGACCCACCGAAACCATAAACATGCTCAAAATAATACTCCAGGTAAAACAAGGATGATATTCTTCCTCTTAGAGGCAGTTTATTTTTTTATTTTTTAAAAATTAATTTATCAGAGACTCTGGCTACCAGCTATTTAGTCCAGCTTCTAGAGACCAAGAATGAGACTCTACATTTCTAAGCACTTACTTAGCTTATATTGGCTAACTTTTATTCTAACCATAACACTCAAGGACAAGGCTGATAGATGGGTGGTGGGGAGACCAACCAATAAAAAGTCTGGAAGATAACATGGCAAGAGTACTTAAGGCCACATAGAAGAAAAGTGGACAGTTATAGGCAATCTATTAAATCTGAAAAAAGTTCAACTTCATTATTAAATTAAGAAATGTAAAGTAAAAACTAAAATACCACTTTTTTGCGTAGTAGGTTGGTAAACATTAGAAGGCAAAAATGTAGGGTAGCAGGTGCTCTCATAAACTGAAGTGGAGAGCAATTTGGTAATATTATTGAAAATATTTCTGATAGTTTAGGAATAAAAGCTTACAAAACTATCAAAACTATATATATGTGTGTGTGTATATATATATATATGTGTGTGTGTGTGTGTGTATTGTATACATTTACACACACACATATATATGCATACTCAGATACAAATTCTGGAAGATACATACCAAAACATTTACATCAGCTATATGCTATATATAAGTGAGGATGATTTTTCCCCCTTTTAATTTTTATGTATTTTCTATTTTCTACAATGAATGTAAATTATTTTGGTAAGAAAGTTTTAAAAGGAAAAATGTTGGTTTGGCAATCTACCACAATTTAAAATGTGTACATTCCCTTTGACATAATTCTACTTCTAGAAATTCTTCCTGCAGATTTATTTGGTTTAAAGAAACACAAAGATGAGTGTATTTGTATACTTTGTGAAACAAAACAAACTTTGCTCACACATGGGACTGGTTAACATATGGAGCAGCGCAAAAGAATGCGGTGCGGTGCACTGATATGAACGGCACTACACCTCGTTTCCCACAGTGTGTGTAAAAACTGAATACGTTTGGACACTACTCATAGCTTTTATACGTTGTACCAAGGGCTAATTAGTCAGGAGAGAAACTAAAATCTGCACTTACCTCTTTGAGAAGAAAAGGGAGGCATATTTCAGCAGGTAAAGGAAAACCTGAATCGGAAAGAGGGTGAAACTGTTTTACACAGACATCTAATCTTCACTTGGTGGTAAATGTAAAATTTAATAACTCACGGTCAGATTTGAAGTTTTCCGCTTTACATATGGGGTCATGACATTTTTGATACCAAACTTCATTCTTCAGATCAACCAAAATCCTTTATGTTAAAAAAAAAAGTTACTTAATAGCCAGAATAGATAGAAAATAAAATTCAGCTACATGCTGTTTATAAGAGCTATGCTAATTCTTAAAGATGGAGAAAACAAAAATTTAAAAAGTAAAAAATATACACCAAGCAAAAGAAAACTGATTGCCGAAAATATCACACAAAGTGGACTTGCGGGCAAAAAAAATACATCTCCCAAGAAAAAATACATTTCCTACTCTGTACCCAATTAAGATAGCTTCAAAGTACAGGTGGGGCAAAAGTAGGTTTACAGTTTTCATATGGAAAATAATACAATAGTAAACTCGGTGTTTCACATACTCAACTGTAAACCTACTTTTGCCCCATCCTGCTTGTGAGCAAAATTGACAATTTTAAGGATAAACAAACCTTTTACCATAAGTTGAGATTTTTAAAAAAACATTCTTTTGGTAAGTGACACAACAAATAACCAATCAGTAAGGATATAGGAAATTTGAATTACATAATTAAAAAGCAATTAACAGCTCGGCCAGTGTGGGTCAGTGATTGAGCGTCAACCCATGAACCAGGAAGTCACAGTTTGATTCCCAGTCAGGGTGCACAATGCCCAGGTTTCAGGCTCAATACCCAGTAGGGGGCGTGCAGGAGCCAGCTGATCAGTGATTCTCTATCATTGATGTTTCTATCTCTCTTCCCTTTCCCTTCCTCTCTCTGAAATTTAAAAAAGCAATTAACAGATTTGATGTAATAGTTATATATGAATACTGCTTCAAATAATTAAAAGCAGCTCTTTATAAAACATTTATAAAAATTGCTAAAAAATTTTTTAAAAATTGACTGCTAGGTACAATGTGAATCTTACTAAATTGAAAAGTATTCATTCATACAACATGTTCCCTCTTCACAAAGCAAGTTTAGAAATAAAAAGATAGCTACTAAAAACCTATAATTAGAAATTAAAAAACTTGTAAATAACCAGTTGACCCAAGAAAGAAATCATGGTAGAAATTAGTAAATGGTTAGAACTGAATGGAATTGAAAAGACATACTCAAATATGTGAAATGGACCTAAAGTTATCACAGAGGGACTTCAGATCTTCAAAGCTTATTTACAAAAATTAACGGCTAAAACAAATGAGTAACATTGGAAAATGAACAATAGAAAAAATCCTAATAAGAGAAAAGGCAGGAAGTAACAAAAATTTTTAAAAATTAACAAAGGGCCAAAATGCGGAAATTGGTAAATTTCTTGTGAGATTAATTTAAAAAATAAATAAGGTATACATACAAATGTTATTAGAAATTGCAGATGTAACTACAAGTGTAAATTATACTAAAAATATAAGAATATTATGAACTTTTGCCAGTTAAATTGAAAACTTTGGTAAAGTAGACAAAATACTAGATAGAAATATACCAAACTAAGCAAACTAAAGCAATCCTATAACGACTAAATTTAAGTAGTGTAAAATCATCCCACACTTCATAAAAAATGAAACATAGCCCTGGCTGGTTTGGCTCAGTGGATAGAGCGTCGGCCTGTGGACTGAAGGGTCCCAGGTTCGATTCCAGTCAAGGGCATGTACCTTGGTTGCAGGCACATCCCCAGTGGGGGCTGTGCAGGAGGCAGCTGATCAATGTTTCTCTCTTATCGATGTTTCTAACTATCCCTCTCCCTTCCTCTCTGTAAAAAATCAATAAAATATATTTGTTTTAAAAATGAAACATAAATGGCTAATATTCCACCACAGGGTAGTCAGACATGAACCCAGGAGAGAAAAATGCAGGCCAGCCAGTCTCACTGCCTCATAGACAGTCCAGTGACAGACTTCCTAGGAACAACCGAAGCTGCAGTTCCCAGGGACCAGAGCCCGCGGCAAACAGGACATTTACATCTTTCTAGGGAAATGGTGCCTGGATATCTGCCAAGCACCCTGCAACTGCTTGCAGTTTGGGGCTTTAATATTGCATCACCCTTCAACCCTTTCCCTGGCGCCCTGTGTTTGCAGTGCTGGGCTTTTTGGTGTGGCTGTGATAAAAGAACCATAAACGTCAATGTGGAAGGAGACAATGGTGGGGGTGGCAGTGTTTAAGAGGTTATGCGATGCTCAGGAGGACACACACATCCCCTTAACAGTGATTGTATTAAAGAAGGGTCAAAGCTACAAACTCCCAGTTATAGGTTAGTCATGGGGATATAACAAAGAGCATAGACTATGGTTAAGAATGATATCCTGCATATTTGAAAGTTGCTAAGAGAGTAAATCTTAAAGGCTTTCCTCATAAAAAATTTTTGTAACTATGGTGACATTGATTTAACTGTGGTGATCATTCCACTATGTGTACATATACAAATTGATGAATATTGTTTTTTCAAAGAGCTACCAAATTGTTAGAGCAAAAACTGGAAGCTGTCTGAAACTATTTCACGAACAGAACTTAGATATTTCTTAGGCCTCGGATCAATGTGAAGAAATTACCAAGAATCTAAGGGCACCTTGATCTAAGTCTGGGAACCTCTGTACCAATGCTGTCTGCTAGGCAGAGTCCTTATCCACAGAATGCTCTTTGCAAGACATTTCTGATTTCTGCATACAGCAACTAAACCTAGTCCATGGATTATGAGGCACCGTTTCCTGAGAATGTCACATGCTATGTAACTAAGTATAACATGTAGATGTTTCACCACCTCAGTGCTCCCTGCTGTGTGCGGTGACTGCTCACTTCTGCCTCAGCTTGCTTTCTTCTTTTTAAAAAATATATTTTTATTGATTTCAAAGAGGAAGGGAGGGAGAATCATCAATGAGGAGAGAGAATCATTGGTCAGCTGCCTCCTGCAGACCTCACACTGGGGATCGAGCCACAACCTGGGCATGTGCCTGACCGGGAATCAAACCATGACCTCCTGGTTCATAGGTCTATGCTCAACCACTGAGCCACACTGGCTGGGCTCTGCCTCAGCTTTTAACCT